TCTTTTGAATTCTTTTGATCGGAAAACCGATAGAGGCACATCACTATACGCAGCTTTTCATGCTGATCATGGATCTGATCTTTTTTGGAAGAAAAAGTTAATTTTCAAAATAAGATTTTTAAGTTCAGTTTTCTGACATAGACATTTTGTTCAAAAAATTTTAAGAACACACCGTGGAATGAAGAATTTAATTCTCTACAAAATGCCTCATTTTGTTTCGAGATCGATTTTTCAGTCGAGACACAGTGGCCGCTTGAACGTTTCAACTTTCGCCTTGGTCTGAAAGCCTCAGAGGATTTTTCGAACTTTATTTTCAACTGGAATCTTTTCAGAAAACCATTACCGAAAATGCCACAGTGCTACTTTTGGACAAGCCGCACGCATAGCAAGTGTACATCCAGGCTAAGCTATCCAGTTTCACGCATTATGCTGCACGATCGCAAGGCTAGTGAAAATGAATTTATCCTTCTTTTCACTTATTTCGATACTATAAAACAAATGGAAGAGCTGATTGAAACAACATATTACTCAACCTAGCATCGAAGATCTGCATAACGCGTACGAGTGCATATGCATTATTCTCAACTAGTAGAGACAAACAAATAAGTGCAATAATTGAAAATCTACTTTTTTCTAATGGAATCACTTCAAAGTATAATAAATATGAAAGTCATAAAATGTCCATCGACGATAAGAAGAAAATAATCATTATGTACTTCGTCATTCTTATTCTTATTATTGTATTGTTGTTTAGCAAAAAACAAAATTTGTCTCCTTGCTCAAATCAGGCGCGCGATGCATGTTCGTGCGCAAACTGAACAGAATAGGTATGTATGCCACACATAGTAACTAGTCATTTAGGAAACTAGTCGTTTGACTCTTCATTGTAACAATTTGCAATATTTCGGCAGTATTTTGAGAAAAGCAAGTGTTAGCAAAGTTGAAACAGTTCTGCCAAAACAACTGCTTACTTTATGTTTTACACAAAGTTCGTAAATATCTTGAATGGACAGTTCATTTGCAGGATGCATCTATGATGCAACTCAAGAACAATTCACATCTTCCGCACTCAGTATTCCTTGTAAAAGTTAGAATTACTATACCAGCCTGTTTTAAATGCAGAATAAGTAGGAAACTAAAAAGTAACAACGGCTGTTTCAGGGGAAATTGAAAGCTGTTTTCGGGAAATAGACATGCGCAGTAACCTTACTTTCGATAAACTAAATACTTGTACAACTCTAGCTAAATTACCTAGAAACCTCTCGTTTGTTCGACTACATCTGTTGACGAAAAGCATTTTCCTTCCGTTCATTTGTGGCAAAGTCCCTTGGTACCTTTCCGATTGCACAAAGTTCGTAAATTCGTATAGTTATATTTAATTTTTGCAACATTTTATGTTACGCAAATATTATGTCGAGTTGCAACCGTAATGGCAAGGAATCAAGTTACTTGGTTTCAATTGATGAAATTTCTTTCTCTTTTCAATATTACTTTGCATTCGTTTGTTTTCGCTCGAGAAATGCAAGCGTCATGACAAAATACGTGACTTTCTCTCACTTTCTCCTTATTCGTTTCTATGTAAATATGAGCTACAGATTCGTAGGCGTCCTCCATATGTACATTGTGCAGCTATTTTTGAGAGTAAATTAAAAAAAGCAATTATTTTCTGTGTGTATATATTAGAAGTCTTTTTCAACCACAGCTCATTCAAATCGAACTGCATCATTGAAACACATATTCAGAAATCGTGCTTGATAGACGTCTGCATGATTTATTATACTTACACCCCTGCTTAGATTCTGTGCTACCATCTTTGATACTTCTCCTAAGCAACTCTTCAGTTTCGTGCTTATGTCGACCGATCTCGGATTTTTATTCTTACGTGCAGTAATACTAGTACTCGGATAACACATCCGATGAACTACTGGTCTTTACATTACCCTTATACTCAGCGAAATTTCGAGCATTAAGAACTCGAGCCATATTATTCAGAGAATATCTTGTGCTTCTGTTTAAGTTTTGATTTAAGCTCGTTTATTGATGTAAGAGTAGAAAAGCCAAAACATACAAGCTACAAAAGCGGATTCAGGATCCATATACGTGTGCTCACCATGAAACCTGATTTACCCCGGAATAATTTCCTCTGAAAATTCCGTCCATCCTATACGAATCACCTAGTACAACCACTTCCACCATCAACAAAAAACATGATTCAACCGACAGCGGTACTATTCGCGCTTATGCTCATTGGACAATCATTAGTTCAAGTACAAACCGCAACAACGACCCAAAAACATACAACAACAAAACCATCAACACCTAAACCATTAACATCCAAACCGGCAGGACAAACTAGCCAGCGACCGGGATCCCAACAGCCAATAGGATCTAAAGCAGCGGGACCAACTAGCCAACACCCTGGATCACAGCAACCAGCGGGACAAACTAGCCAGCACCCTGGATCACAGCAACCAGCGGGACAAACTAGCCAACACCCTGGTTCACAGCAACCAGTGGGACAAACTAGCCAGCACCCTGGATCACAGCAACCAGTGGGACAAACTAGTCAGCACCCTGGATCACAGCAACCAGTGGGACAAACTAGCCAGCACCCTGGATCACAGCAGCCAATGGGACAAACTAGTCAGCGACCGGGATCAGAGCAGCCAATAGGATCACAACAACCAGTGGGGCAAACTAGCCAACACCCTGGATCACAGCAGCCGATGGGACAAACTAGTCAGCGACCGGGATCAGAGCAGCCAATAGGATCACAACAACCAGTGGGACAAACTAGTCAGCGACCTGGTTCACAACAGCCAATAGGATCAGAGCAGCCAATGGGACAAACTATCCAACACCCTGGAACACAGCAGCCGATGGGACAAACTAGTCAGCGAACTTGTTCACAACAGCCAAT